AGGAAGGAAGGAAGGAAGGAAGGAAGGAAGGAAGGAAGGAAGGAAGGAAGAAGGTGGAATGTAATAGAGAAAGATATCCAACATTAATAAATTGTGGTCTCTTTGGCATACATGCTTGCACATGCGTGTACACACACATCCCACCACCACCACCTACCTTTCCAGCTTACCTTGTCTCTATGGAAAGGTAAATGCTCAGGAGAGATGAGTGAAGCGGCAGAGTTCTAGGAGTCTGGGAGGTGAGAGCAGGTGTCCTCACTGGGATGGGAGCAAGGTCCACAGGAGCTGGAGTAGTCACAGGGTGAGCATCTGGGAGGAGATGGCCCTGTGCCCTGTTCTCCTCCCACCCCTAGCAGTCCCCAGGAGAAATGCGGTACTGTTGGTCTCTGATTCTGTTGGAGTCAGCTAATCTCTTTCCACCTGGGGACTGCCTTTCATAAGCGCTTTCGTGCATAAACGCTAAGTTCTTTTTACAAGGGGGTGATTTCTTCTCACCGGTTCCCTGGGGAATGTAAATCAGTACCAAATGTAAGGAAACCTGCGTCACTTGCTCTCCTATAAACCACACATTCAAGGAGTTGCTCCCCTAAGGGGAAAGGCAAGCCCTGCCCCTGCCCAGTGAGCTTAGCTTCTCCTGGAAGAGCTCATGGTCAAGGCTGTATGTGTCCTACAGGCCTGGGGTGATGAGAAGGACAGACTGGAAGAGGACAGGAACAATGGGCATTTGGGCTGTCCATTGATTGGCCAAGTCCTGTGCCCAGGGCATGGCTCCAGAAGGACAAGTCTCCTAGGAGGTGCATGTGTAGGTGCAAGCAGGTAGTTGGAACTAATTCTTGGCTCTGGCCTCAGTAGAGAAAACTGCAGCCCCACTGCTTCAGAGCCAGGCCCCAGGGTTAGAAGCAGACGCCCCAGCATTGTGTCTGAAGCTTGTTGCTTAAACCTCTCATTTGGGGGCTTTGGAAGTCTGATACCAGCTGCTCACATCCTCTCTCCACGGGAGATCATAAAACTGAAGATGAGACCATTTCCTCTAGAAACACAGAGATCCATTACAGGGAGAGAAGATGGGTGGTGTGGGGTGTCTCAGTCCCAGGTCTGCCCAGTCCCCCGCTGTCCAGTCAAACACGGCTCACTCTAGCCTGGGGAAGGGGGTGCATGAGGCAGTGCAACCCAGAAAAGGTGGAAGAGGAGCACAGCGCGCAGTAACAGAGCCAGGGCAGCCTGTCCAGCTCAGACCTCCAGCGCGCTCTCTGCCATCCACAGGCTGCCTCGGGCTATG